AAGCCGCCGATCTGGTCGGAGATGGGTTCGAGTTTTTCGTGGAGCAGTGGAGTGGGGGCAATGTTATTGGGATCCAATGGGTATTTTAGTGAAGTTCCGTTGTCCGATGTTCAATTATCCGGACCGAGATAAATAAAAAAATTATTGGAGAAGATTGTAACAAAATATACCATACTTTGGCATGAGAAGAATTACAAAATGTATTTTGAACTATGATTGCGAGGTATACAAATTTTGAATCTACATCCAACAATTAATACGATCCATAATTAAACTCAAATGATCAACATGTTAAGATATTTATTTTTCATTAAAAGGTAGTAAGTTTCCATCTACATTTATATATGCTATTTTATTAAAAAAAAACAAATTAATAGGACCACATTATAACATTTACATGAGTGATGTTTCTCATAAATGTTTTGGTTTAGGTCTAAAAATGAACTTTTATTTGTACAAACTTTGATTAGTCCAAAAAAGTAAAATGTATTATCTAACTTTATTATTTTACTTTCTTTCAAATTTTTAAAACGTATCACAAGTAGTTTATTGAAATTATATTTTTATACCGAACGAGGTTCTCTTCAAATAAAAGATGGTGAGCTTCCACTGAAATATTTGTTTTGTCTATTGGTCCTTTTTCACCTCTACTATCTAGTCAACTACTCTCTTTAGAACATGCTACCACTTTAATAGAAATTATTATAGGGAAAAAGAGAAGTTTCAGCAAAGCGAGAGAAGATTGGAGAAGAGAAAAGAGAAGGCACGAATCAGAAAGGGGGCCAATGATTGGTGACCCAAGTTGGCCTCCCGACCGACTAGTGGTTGGCGCCGAGCAAGTCTAGACCCCCCCGGTCGAGAACTCCAGAAGACCTAACTCTCGATCGTGTGCATGCCGGTCCGAACCCATCGCGTCCCGACTCTTGATCCGACGACAGCCCACGCTAGCCCAGATAGATTTCCTAGATGTATTAAGATTGGAGTAAGCCAGACCTAAAGGTATGCTCACAATACCCTACGCTTTATACTCAACTACTCTGATCCTAACTTAAGCATCGAAGCTCGTGTGACGAGAGCCACATCGATCTTAGTGTTACTTTATTTTGCAGGTCTCGTCGATCCTTTTATTCTCGAAGATTGGTGCAAATTAAGTGGAATCTCAAGAGGTCAAATTTTTGCATGAACAGAAGTGAACCATCAATTACATCATGGGATAACCATCAAAGATTTATATAGTCTCGTATTTTCAGCCTTCCTATCAAAGTATACTGTATACTTGATAAAGTTTTATTGTGAAAAACATTATTGAAATAATAAGAAGCTCTACGCTCTTCAATCAATATACAATGTTTCATCCACAATATAATGTGACTGTTATGTTAGTGAGATTCACCGACTTTTTATTTGATAGTCAAGATTTCGTTAACATAAGTTAGAGATATGGCTCAAATACCATTTGTTAAACTAAAAGTAGAATTCTCTAAAATTCCACCAATAATATGATATTGTACACCTTAAAATGCGTTTACATGATGTTGTTTTTAGTTTCAACTAAAAGATTTTATGTCAACATAGGATATCGTGGTTATCTAATATTTTCAAAGTTTTATCTAATATTAAACTAAGTTCTCAGACAGAATCACCAAGCTTCCCTTTAAATATTCCTCTGTTGGTCAACTCTAAACATTATTAATACAACCAACTCTTATCTAGATTGTTCAAAATTTTCAAATTATTAGATTTCTCAACCCCATATTTTAAAATAAGGAATTTTGCTCTATTCTACCATTGATTCACACATGTCATAAGCTAGGAAATTCAATCAAATGATGGTACATTTAACTTCAAAACAAAAGATAGAATATCAACAACTTTATCCAAACAATTCTTCATTCATTCCCATTCTAAAAATTATGAAAATGCTACAAGCCATACACTAATGATCCAGAAAGAACCAAAACTCGGAAAGAAAAAGAGATGGAAAACACAGTGCCAAAAGAAGCCAAATCTGGTTTTTAATTCTGTACACAAATCACCATCCCAGATCACAAGGAATCATAATCATCATCTCAAGGCTGATAAAGCTTATTCCCACATCTGCATTTCCAATGCAGAAGATAATAGCTATCATCTTTTTCTCTACGAGTCAGAGGTTCGAATCCCTTCCTCTCACGGTGCTCAGGCACCACCAGGGTCGCCGAGCAGGGCCTGCAATTCAAGCACTTCCCGATGCATTGCGGCGGCTTCGACCCCAGCACCGTCTTCTCCTGCAAGCTCCCGCCGCCACCGCCCGCCGCAAAAACTGAGATACGAAACATAGATACATGAGATGAAACAGGAAAAGGGTTGGTCTGTTTTTGGTGTGTGTTACCTGAGGGTGTGGGAAGAGGAATGGAGAGGGAGAAGATGAAGAGGGCTGTGATGGAGAGGTTCAGAAGGGTGGTGAGTGGGGAAGCCATTGGAGGAGGGAGAGAAGGTTGAATTTTGCAGATTTCAATGGGAGTTGTGAATTGTGAATTGTGATGTGTTTCCTTTACCAAAGACCAAGAAGTTGCTAATAGTTAGTTTCTTTTCTTTTCTTTTGATTTCTAAATATTGAAAACTATTTTAAATAATTGTTTTTAGATGATCCATGAAACTACATTACCCCATAATGTTATTTATTTTATTCCTAATTTAAGGGAGATATATTCCAAAATCTCATCAGAGTCTCTTCAGTACTGGCACCATAAATAGCAGGTTCTTTTTCCCTTTTAGAAAGTCTTGAGGAAAGGAAATTGAACAAAACAAAAAAAAAAATAAAAATAAAAAACAGGAAAATAAAATTGTTGAGAAAGAAATGGAAAAGGAGTTTATGTTATTTATGGTGTATACTAGAGAGATTCTTGGTTAGATTTTAGAAGGTTAGGGATAAAAATACTAATCAGAAAAACACTTAAATATTAGACCTCCGAATATATATTTAACATTTTATAATCTGGTTGATGACATGATGTGACACGTTTAGTAATCTCCAAGTTATTCCTTAACAAAGTTTAATATTTTAAAAATTTAAGTTCAACGATGACATGGTGATGTCCTATCCATTTAGATATGTTTGATATTTAGAGTTTGTAAGACTGCTACGTGAAGCTTAGATGATAAATAAAGAGTCTAACTTTACTCACATCTAATTATATTAATAGTATTAACTAGAAAACTAAAAGCATAATAAAAAATTTTTTTTAAGAGATGTAATTCAAATTTTGGGACTTTAAATATTTAAAATATAAAGATTAAATTCTTTGAACTTTTTTTCTTTTTAAATTTAAGAAGTACTAGAGAAAAGGAGGTGATTTTATGGGGGTCATTCACCAATGGGAGTGCTTTTCAACAGTATGGATAAACCCAAAGAAAGAATTGTTTGGTAATTTTTGGAAATTGGTGTTTTGACTGTTTTGCAAATGGTAATTGATTAAGAGGCTGATTTTGATGGTATTTAGGTGGGTGGGTCATTTGACTGTTCTGGCCCTGGGATTGCCAAAAATCATCCAAACCATCTCTCTTAAATTCTATTCCATTTATGGAGTACTTCATTATAGTCGTTATCGTCATATGTTATGTTGATGCACAATTATGACTAAGGTGATATGTCCATCTTATGTGCACTGCACCGACGCTCGAATATTCTTTCACAGCAAAACCATCCTTTCGTCGAATGTTAATGGATTTCCTGTTGGTTCGAATCTTCCCTAGGTCAGAACCGAGTTGAGTTCTACTTCCGAAGTCACATGTTTTTCGTTCTCGTCTTTGAGGACCACATGTTGCATTGAATTGTACCCTTAACATTTTGTATTGTATTTAACAGGCAATATTTGAAATATAGGTAGAAATGGAGAAGAGGGAAAATTGAAAAGGACACCAAAATCAAAGTGCAGATACATTGTAGAAACGCTGACAAAATGAAAAGCTTCTCATAAGCAGTGGTAGAAGTAGTTTAGGAAAAAGCAGATATCCAATCTAAGCTTCCATGAAAATTATTAAAAACATAAAGCTTTGATAAGTTGAGAGAATCAAATAAAGTGGGCATCATCAGTGACAAATAGTTCTAGATTTTTCAGTCTCTGTAAAGCAAACAGTGAAAAAAAGGATGATTGAGGACAGCTTTTCCACCCTTAATTCATTTTAAAAAAATATCACAACAAACAAAACAAAACAAAAACAAAAAAACAAACCAATCAAAAACTTTTATAAGTTCAAACTTTCATCTCTACCTCTTATAATTGAACTAGACATTAATAACTTTTCTTAAATGTAGGGTTTAATTCTCCACATCTACCTAAAAAAGATCGAGTTCAAAATGATTGAATAATTCGTGAACCCTAGTTTTTATGCCACGCCCAAGAAAAAATGTATCCTTCTAAGAAAAATATTAGCATAAACATTTTATTAGATTTAACAAAATTATAAGACACTATAATTAAAATTTGAAAATCATAGCGGAAAAAAAAAATCTAACTTAAGTGAATAGACTGCTAGTTTAATTTTATCTCAATTAGTTAAGAAACTTATCTCTGACGAAAATATCGTAAGTTTTGGATTATTCCCCACATATTGTTGTATTAAAAAGAAAACAATATCAATGAATAGAATGACAATTTAACCTAAAATTGATTGAAGTTTGACCATAAATAAGTGAGTATTAATCTTAGAGATTAGCAATTAATTATGTCTTGGAAGATGTTCAAGAGTGAAATGTTTGTTCTTGAATGTGCATAAAATTGTGTTTTACTAGATTCCTAGCTAAAAAATTACTTATGCCCACAATATTTCTTTAAGGAAAATACTTGTTTTTTTAGTATTCAAGAAAAATATTTAGGCGTTCACCGGTTAGTACCTATTTTGTGTTGAACACCGCTAAATTGTAGCTAGAAAAATAGCAGAGAAATACAAAAATAAAGGTTTTTTTTTAATGAACTATCCATTTTTCAATGCTCTTAGTATAGAGTGGATGCTAACTCACTTAAATATCATTGTTTCATCGCTATACATTATATATTCTTGCTTTAAAAAAAACTATAGATTTAAAAATATTAACACATAACATTATAAGTCTCGTACACTATATATATCTCATAGTCCATATGTACTTAATAATAAAATCCCGATTTAAGTAATATAAATATAGTAATAAAGGAGAAAACACGTCAATCATTGATTACTATAACAATGGATATTACGATGGACTACATTCACAATTTACTTTTTAAGTTAAAAAAGTTGCAATCTAGTATTTAAACTTTAATATATAACAATTTAATCTAATTTAAAATTTGTAACTAACGATTTAGTTTATAAATTTTAGTACGTCACGATATATAGTTCTCTTAATTTAAAATTTATAATAATTTGGTTCATATCGTGAAAAATAATATTAATTTAACCACTAAATGTATTTTTAAATTTTGATTGGATTTTTCACAACGAAACTAAATAAATTATTGTAAATATTAGTAAACTATACGTTGTTGCATAATTGTTGATATGCATTTCTTACTAGAGTAACATGTCAATAACGATCCTATGCGGAGCTAAGCACCTACAAACAGAAATTTACTCCGATATTGTATTTTCGACCACGTAAACTATAAAACTTAATGTTAGAATTAAGTTCCAACTATTGTCACTATTGTCGAGGTGATCTGATCGTCTGATTTAATGGACCCTGCACTAACGATAATAAAAAAAAACGGGTTTTTAGAATCGAAAAGTCGACCAAGCTTTCAACTTTGTTGCCAAAAAATGAAAAGAGAGAGGGAGAAAAAAAAAATTAACATATTTATTTTCCATTAGAAGCAAAACAAAGAAGGCATCACATCTGATCCACACACCACATGATTCCCTCGCCCTGACACCACCTGGTTAAAATCGACGGTCCTCCTTCGAAGTCAACGCGCTCTGGTCGTGTGATCAGACGGCATCGGACGGTCTGCTGTAAGGTGTACGGTAACAAAAGTTGGGGTTGACAAGACCACTGCGTAGCACGCTTTGCTGGGGTTGTGTACCCACTTCTTCCATTTTATTCTGACACGTGGCTTCTATTTACTGGTCTTTTCCCCATATGGTTCCTTACGTTATTGCCTCTCTACAACAACTCAATGAAATATGAGGCGATTTGATGGTATTAATTAATAATAAGTTTAAATCGTTAACAACTACTAACTTCATCAATCAATAATTAAGTCCAGTTTTGTTTTTGATTTCATATTCCCTAAGTCAGTATCTAAACGTTGTTTTCTGTGGAAATTCTTGTTTTCAAATGCATAATTATATTATATTTATATAATATTGTAAAATACTTGCCTCCTTCTCATTCAAAAAGAACATTTGACAATTAAAATAGAGAAATGCAAAAATATAAACTTTTTTCAATTTCTCAAGAAATAATGAGTTGTCAAACATCTAGTCCTCCTCATCGTTGAGAAGAAAACAAGTATTTACTAAATACTAATTCTATCCAAATTTATAATGTTTAGGTTAACAAATTAATTAATAATATTTTAAATTAAACTAAATTTTTTAGTAGCTAACCAATCCTTTATGATTATTCAAAAATTAAAATATTTATATAATCTTGTAAAATATAATTCTATCGAAATTTATAACATTTATCTTAATAAATTAATTAATAATATTTTAGACTAAATTAAATATTTAGTAGATAAACAACCGTTTATGATTATTTTTTTAATTTAGATTTAATTTTCATGTCGGTGAAAACATAGAATCAGGGTTCAAAATGTCGAGAGACATGTCGACATGTCGTTGGACATGGTCGACATGTCCACGTATCGAGCATGTCAACATCGACATAGGGGGGAAAAGTCGACTTTTCCCATGTCGTGGACATGTCAAAATGTCTATGTTTTTTTTTCCTTTTCTTCTTCAAGGTTATTTTATGTTCATAATCTTCTTACTATGCCACTATAGTCTATAATTTCTCACCACCTCGATGATTGTAATCTTAGTCTGTTCAATGAAACATTCGAATTTTAATACTGTATAAAGTATAAATAATAAGATTTGGAATTTACTTTATTGATAATCTCTAATCCAATCTAGTCCTTACTTACACAATTAAACAATACATGTAAATACTGACATATATAAATATTGAAATAATCTTAGAATTTTTTAAAAATAAAATATTATTATATACAAATAGTGGTGAAACATGGGGTAGAATAGATAACTTAAAAGATGATCGTGGAGGGTCTAGTTCACTATCTTGATAATTTTAATATAAATTACAATAATTCTCCCAAGGTATATAAATTACAATAGTTAAGTAAAAAGTAAACATACACGAGTTAATTAGAATTTAGAAAGACACGAGTTAATTAGAATTTAGAAATATGTTTGAAAATCAAGTTGGTAATTATCTCATTTCCAAATGAATCCTATTATGAAGAACAATAAAGAAGTAGTCAAAAGTTTACCATTAAAGTTTACTTTACATATTCAAATAATTTTCATCAGACATCAAAATAGTCATATTCTTTATTTTTAATGGTTAAAATGATCCATTATAAACTATTTTTTAAAATGATCCATTATAAACTAATTAAACTACCATTCAAGTTTTCTCTGCTAATTCAATAAATTTCTATCAATTTCCACCATTTTCGTTAATTTCCACAATTTCCATTATTTTTCTTAAAATATTAATCAACATCGACATGTATATATTCAAGTTTTCTGTGCTAATTCAATAAATTTCTATCAATTTCCACCATTTTCGTTAATTTCCACAATTTCCATTATTTTTCTTAAAATATTAATCAACATCGACATGTATATATTTACATCAACATCGGCATTTCTATGCCGACTCTACTCTGATTAGACCACACTAACAAACTCAACCATGACTCTACTCTGATTAGACCACACTAACAAACTCAACCATGAAGAGCTTTGCTTTGGATCTTTCTCCGGTTGAACTCCGATCTGATCTGCAATTGCTGTACTAAAAAAGGAAAAAAAAAAAACTCCAAAGTAAATCATAGCATTTATTTTTCCAAAATTTGAGAGACCAAATATTACAAAACTCAGCAACACAATTCAGAGAACAGTGACTTCCTTGACATCCTTTTGGGGCCTCTCACCCCTGGGAATGGTAATCGTCAAAACCCCATCCTTCAGCTCCGCCTTAATCCCCTCCACCTCCGCATCCTCCGGCAGCATCACGCTCGTATCGTAATAACCATAACTCGCCGCCGCCACCCACCCGCCGCCTTCTTCTTCCTTCTCCTCCTCCTCCTCCTCCTTGTGCTCTCCTCTGACCCTCACAACCCGGCCCTCCACCGTCACCTTCACATCTTCCTTCGCCATCCCGGGCATCTCCAGCCGCAGTTTGTAGCACTCTTCCTGCTCTTTCACACGCCCTCCCAAGCTCAGGCTCTTCAGCACTCTGTTTATGCTCTCCGCCGCTTGCATCAGGGAACTCCCTAGACCCCCGTTGTTCCTCCATACCCATTTCTTGCCATGCCTCCTCTCTGGGAGCATGTTGGGGTCTTGGCCTTCATTGACGGCGACCTCCTTATCCTTTGGGTTGCCGTCTGAGCTCTGACCAGACAGCCTTCTCAGGGGCTCAGCCCCCCACCGTGGCCTCTGCAGCAGAGCATCAGCAAAAGAGGAAACAGCGGCCCTTTTTTGGTGTAAATTCTTCAGAGCCAAACGAGGGAAGGCCATAGGAAAACGTGGGGTTCTTTTTAGTGTTTTGGTAAGTAAAGAATATGATGATGAGATACTGATATAAAGAGAGGAGCGGTGGTGGGTGTGTGAGAATCCAGAAGGGTCTCGTTGAAGTTCTGGGAGGTGGTACTCCATGGTGGAAACAAGTGTCAGTGACCTTTTCGTTGTTTCTCAATTATTTTCTGTTTTTCAAATTTCTTTTTTATCTTGGACTAAATTACAGTTTTTAGTCCTAATAATCCAAACTTTATATTAAACCCAATCACTAATAAAATTCAAATCCAAATAAGAAAACTGATCAATATACATTAACATTTTTCATGGATAGGGAAAAAAGGATAAAAGAATTTATGAAACTAATTATGGATGAAGAATGAAAACAATGAATTCATCTTGTCTCTCTCTACACACAATTTACCATTTAAACAGAAGGAGGCAACTCAAGTTTCAGACAAGACAAGAACTCAACAAACACTACCCAAAAGAACACAAGAGGCCTACTGCAACAAGCTGAACACTAATATGGATTAATGTTCTGTTTTACATATCACTGCAGAAAGCTACATTTTGGGTATTGGCTGGCTCTAGTTGCCAACGTAGCAATTGAGCCTGTTCGTGTAATAGTTCGAGTTCAGCAGTTTAGAGGGTTTCCAAAAAGTCTAACTTAACCTTCAAATATCTTCCATTCCATAAATGTTGCTCAATCATACAACCCCTCTTGTTCCCATACGTCCACAAGAAAATCAACCATTTCCTGTATGATTTCAAGATTAGATCCCCCCCGGTTAGAGAAAAGGGAGAGGTTAATGAGAAAAAATCGAACAGAAATGAAGCGTATTGGCTTGGGAGACACTTACAGCAAGTGGAACAGGCTGTGGGAACGGCTTGTTGCTTCCCAACAAACTGTCGTATGTTGCATTCCAACTGCAAAGCCAGAAGGATTTAGGCATGCAGAGACAATGAGTGCTGACAAAGATACAACAAACAAAGTTCAAGAATAATTAACTCCCAATTCAGAGAAACCAGAGCGTTAAAAAGATTTTTCTTTCTGGTTTCTTATCATCTTTAGCAAGCTTTCAGTCTGAGTCGAAATATATTTTTCAAGACTTTTCAAAGTGAAGGTTTCAATAAAGTATATTTCAATGCTTGAAACTAGATTTGTTTGGAATTATTTTTCAAAGGAAATGAAGTTGTTATTCGTGAACAGTTATTCTAATGTGTACAATATCATTAAGCTTTACCAATTAGTCCTTAAAAACACTTATAAAACAAAAAATAAAAATCTTGGAAATTTTTCTCCAAACAAGCCCTAATGCTCATAGCAAGATGCTCTTGCTCTAAACTACTGTGAATAATGTCTATACATGGTGCTTTCATGTTTCACTGTAAAACTTCATCGGCTTACTTGGCCAAACACGTATAATGGTTATATCCCTGTCCCAAAAATTTGATGGTTATATCCCTGTCCCAAAAATTTGAAGAGACAGTCTATTGTTTCCCATGACGAAGTTAGCATCCAAAAATAAAATCCATCGCCTGGGTTAGAAGGAAACCATCAAAGAAATTTGTAACAATGTTTTTGAATGCAAAAGGGAAAAAAAAAAAAAAACAAAAAAAAATGTACAGAATTAATACTTACATTTTTTTCCAGAAGAGGTACAATAATTTCTAAAAAAAAACGAAACATTTTAAAAGTTGTCGATGGGAGTGTCTAAATGTAACTTAGTAAATTATCTTCAGTATGGACTGGAGCAAATGGTTCAACAAGAATCTAATTACAGCTTTATAAGTGGAAACCAATAGTTTCTGGATGGATTTATGGATATAAAATAACTTGTTTTGGTAATAGAAAAGATCAGTGACCATTGATCAACTTACTTTAATTTGGGTTCCCGAACAAATAATTCTCGGTTGCACGGCTTTTTGTTCTTCACCCAATGCTGCCTAGTTTGATTCCAGAGAAGAAGACCTACAACCAAAATTGTCAAACCACCACCTAATAACATGACAATATTGTTCAACATCGAACCTCTCCTAAACTGTAAACTTCTGTATTAAAAAAGGACAGAAAAATGACATAATACGTATTGGTTATCCAATTGAATCAACTTGAACATGGACCGAGAGTCTGAGACTCGACATTCAAGACAATGGAGCTTTTGCTCTGAGTTTTAATGTTATGGCAACAAGTTGATCAAGTGAAGTTGCTAAAAATCACAGAAGCAATGAGGAGTTACCATTATTTACAAATGCTGTAGAAACGTTAGCTTCACTAGAGTCCCCATGTATTTGGTTGGTTTTGCTAATTGATGAATTGCTTCCCTGTGACCGGTTGGCACTGTTGTCCATGACGTGCGGGCTTACGATTTCCGAAATATATTACGAGAAGCCTTCGATCGATAAGCTACAGTAGTTGTAAGTTTAGGCTTGATATGATTTTCAAGGCAACCAATGCTCTATTACAAACCACAGTTAATCAAAAAACTCATTAGAACCAGCCATAGCATGGTTCAAAACTATAGTAAACATTAGAAAAGCATGAAACAAATCTCTCAATGATGCTAATTCAGTAGTTACATTTGCCCATATGTACATTACAGTTGAGAGAATCCCTTAAACCATTGGATTTTTTTTATTTCCATGCTATGATTAACACCATTAAGATTAAATAAAACAAATGAAGACCAATGCAGCAGAAATGGTTCGAGTTCAATCATTCGGATGAATCAAGGAGGCAACCAATTTACAAACGCCATCTCCAAATCCTTATTCAGTACTGAATGCTTCCTTCAATTTTGCCACATTTTCTAGGCAACCAAACACAGAGCTAACAATCCATTCCGAATTGGCGTATAGAATAAAGCCACGCCATCGCATCAATCAGATAACTCAGAGGCTTAAAATCAAAAATAGAAAAAAGGAAGGAACTTACCCCATGCATAGGGCAAGCTTTATATAGCAGACTCAGAAAGCCAAAACGGATCCACGGACGAGGAATCAAGGAGCGCCAAATCCGATTCCAGAAAGGAGAGATCAGAGAGCCGCTCCTGAAAATCAAAACGATTTCACGGGGCGAAAAGGAAAAGGCGGAACCAAAAGCAAAATTGAGAAATCGAAAGATAATATTATCATCAGAAATTGAAACTTTGGAGAAAGAAAAACAAAAAGTTGTGGACCTTGAGTGAACGATGTCACGGGTCGCCACTCTCGTGCTTCCTGAAATCGAAAATGGCCCCTTCGAGGGCTCACAGGCTCGGCTTTTCCCCCCTCCTTTCTTCTTCCTTCGCTTCTCCTCTGGCTCTGGTTATTATAAGGATGGGGAGGAAAATGGTGGGTGCATACAATATTATTATTTATAGGAAATGGATCATAATTGTCTTTTTAAATAATAGTGGATCATAATTGAATTATAAAATATGGATTTGTATAGTTTTAAGTTGGAATGTTACACGCCAACACGAGCCTTGAGTCACTCGAGTCACTTGTTCATATTTGTTGTATTGAAAAAAGAGTTCGAATGTTCTACGAATTTAAGCATAGTTTAATTGATTATATTATCGATCAAAAAGTTTAGAGAATCGAGTATTAGTTAATCTCACCTCCCTCTTCTTCGTTGATCTTGACTGCCTTAACACAAATAGAAACTTTGAAGCTTAATTCTAGTATGAGCTTAATATAGAGAAAAAGTACCACAAAGAAATTGAGAAAAAAAAATCAAGAATTATGTGAACAGATCCAATCAACCTCACGAAGTTTTAATAAAGTAGGCATTAAAATTGAGGCGAAGCGAAGTTTAAGAAAGTAGCATTAAAATTGCGGTAGTATGGTGTTGATGCAGCAATTTGATCGATCGAAATCACCAAATTTGCACCAATCTTCTTGAATTAAACGGGTCAACCACACACTCCGATGTTTAAATCGGAATTTGAGTTTTATGTGAAACGTAGCAAATAGTAGAGTTTTGTAACTTACCTTGATCATGAGGTTACTCTCTCTATTTATAATCGTGAGAATTCTAGGGTTTATAGGAATAAGATATCTTCTCTTTTTTTAATAGGAGATGATGTCGTCGTGGCCGGACGAAGTAAGAGTGGAGGAGTCAACCTGTTATCATGTTTATTGGCGGTGCACAGAAAATAAGCACGAGGTGGTGGAGGCCGAGACTTGGTCGGCCGGGTACTGGTTCCTAGTTGGTTGGGTCTTGTGGCCCAATTCGTCCTTTGGACCTCTGGGTCTCTGCTCTTCTCCCACTTCGTTCTCCCAATCATTTTTTTAATCCTTTAGATTTGTAAATAAGTTGTTTGCACTAAGAAGCAAGAAACTTGCTTGAAACATTTGGTGTAAAACAGATGCACGATTGTGTGTGGATAATGGCACATTTTCTAACCGGAGCTAGCAAAAGTAGAGTTACATTTTGTTAACATAAATGTAAATTTCACCGCAAGTTGTGGTCCCACTGAAACTTTATGGTAAATTTCAACTGTCAAAATACAAAAATAAAGTGAATGKTACTCTTCTATAAGTCCCATGAGTTTGTGAAAGTTACATTCCAACTAGATCTATTAATTATGTATTTTTGTAAATATGATTTTTCTTTYCAATTTGATTTTGCTACAAAATCTTTATGTGATTCTCTCCATTTCTCTACGCAATTTTAAATTGACATGAAATTAATTTAACTTGAAATATAACATACATGAAAGGATATATTTCATCCTCAAATTGATCATAGGACTCATAATACAATTTACACACATATAATGTAGTTTATATATATATATATACACATCTCATTTTCGCTCTTAGTTGACAATTTTTTCGTTAACTTTTGATTAATTGACATATAAAATTAATTAATTCAATTCACAAATAAGAGTTTCCAAAATTTGCTCCTCGCCAATATATTAATAAAAACATCACTTTAATTCTTTTTTTAATACAACATGTGTGAGTGGGAAATCGAACTCACAACCTCATGGTTAGAGGTATATATCAATTATCAAACTATGCTTGCTTTAGCATCACTTTAATTCTATTGATATCAACAAATTTAATTTAATTAATTAACATATTACCCGTTGTTTCATCAAAATAATAATAACAATATATTACTCATTGTTTGGTCTAAAGGGATGCTTCTTCTTTTTAAATATTCTAAGTATGAAAAAAAAAAGTAGTACTTGAGAAGGTTTTTGAAATGGAATAACTTTTGGACTAAAAAGGCGATAGGAAAAAGCTCATGTTGACGATACCTCTTTACTTTTTAAAAACTTAGAAATCATAGTTTATTTTCTTCATTTCTCTCTCTTACTTACAAAAATTTAATGGTGGTTAGCAATATCGGTTAACACTCAAGTATTGTTATGGTAAAAATATGTATAGAATCTAATCTCCCTGCAGCTTTATCTTAACAGGATCAATTACTTTCTTGAAAAAAAAAATGTCAAAATCACAAGCAAGAAAAAATATTCTCCAAATTTCAAAATAGAGGCTAACAATATTTCGCCCCAATTTTATCAATCTTTGAACGATATGTGACAATTTCCACTTTCAATTTTCAACAAAAAGAAAATGTAAAAATTTTTTTTAAAAAATCTATTAATTTGTTTGAAACTCCATCGGTTCCATAACAAACCTCTTACTTGTAAATTTGTAATGTAGTCCATTAAATCCAATTAAAAAATATTCTTTAACCATTTTTCCATAAATAACTAATTTTTATAATTTTTTTATTAGTAATATTCTCTTTTAATACAACAATATATGGAGTCACAAACTTTTTGTTAATACAAATATTTATTTGGTACCGTATTCAAACAATTAAAAAGAATGGAAGTTCAAATCTGTGTATTCTCATGTTTGTTGTATAAAAAGGAAAAAAAAAAAAAGACAAAGCTACCCACAGGTAATAAAATAAAATTTAGTATTTACTATTATGAAAAAAAGTGGTCTCCACCATCAGCATCCATTTACAGCCACAGAAAACCAAGATTTCTCTAATGTTTTCCCCAAACAGAAACAAACAAGAAAACCCCCAAAAAGAAAAAGAGATTTAAAAAAAAACAGAAAAAAAAGGAGGAGAAGGGAAAGAAAGATCAAGAAAAAAAAACTGTTGTTGCTTGGCGTTGGGTTGAATTCAAAAGGAACATTCCATCCTGTGCGATCGCTGCTTGAGAATTCCATTATAGAGAGCAACTCGATTCGGCGGAATTTGATTTCTACAGCTTATTCTTCTTCTTCTTTCTCTGTTTTCCGCCATCGCCAGCTTCTCGTCGTGCTCTTTCCTGTACTCCTCTCCGTTCCCACTCGGCTCCTTCACGTCCTCTGCAAATCTCACCTTTTTCTTCTTCTTCTTCTTCTTCTTGTTCTTGTTTTTGTCATCTAAACACAGTCAAATAGAAAACCCACCAGAATTCAAGACCCAAAAAGTGGTTATGAAATTAATTTAATGGAGGGAGGGAGAGGGGAATACGCACGCACCAGAAGAGAAGCAAGAACGG